ATACCCGAGATACGAGCTAGAAATCTTCTAAATTAATATTACGGAAAAGATGATCGATCGTAATTTATTACAAAACACACTGCAATTATGATTGTATATCAATGATAAAGAGAATAATATTAAGTTGCAAACGCTTCATGGTGTGAGTCCCGTATAACCTTGCTTGTATTGATAACGCAAATAAATTTTTTATAGTATTCGACTAGAACTGCAAAAATATTTATATGATAAATTTCTTGTAATTTTTTTCTGTGAAAAATAAAATGACTCGCTTCCTTTTCTTTTAATAGAACATAACCATTTATCCGTAATTACACTTCACTTGTTCCGCAAGCCTCTTTCATTCGCTATTTTTTGATATGACGAAATACTTTCATGGGTAAGTGGCAAATACTTCAATAATTTGACAGTCAACAAGCGCAATGCAAACAAGGATTGTTGTCACCGTCGCCTATCTTCTTGCTCTATGTGTCTTGAATAACTTCATTTTTCGTGCAATACAACAAACTAAACATTATTGTGATTCACGTCTTTACGTATTATCCTTTTTTTTCTGCTAACAATCCCACAATTTATTTTCGTATTTATGTATAATTAGTCTCTTTCTCTTTCAAAGTTGGATTATTATGCTCTGTAATTCATCTTCTACTTTTTCGTAAGAACAGAGAAATAACCTCTCTGATGTTTAAAAATAAGGCGATGATGCAATCCTTACAACTCTTTCTTTCACGATACTGATGTTGAACAAACTTCTTTTTTGATTCTATATAAATTGATGATCAGCTCTGTAATTGGCGTCTTCAAATGAAATAACCTTAAACGATTCTATGCAAATACTCTACTATTAAACACGGAACCGGATTATATTGATCGTTCTTTTATTATAATACATGGCATCACTAATAACGTAGGTTAATCGTGCATGATTAGTAAATATGACATGTACATGCACTTTCATCGAAACGTCTTTCCTGCTCCTAGCTACAAATGGTAAAAAGAGAAAGAAAAAAAAACGGAAGTGTTTTCGAAACATACCCGGTAGAAACCGTAAATCGATAAGGCTACTAGCTAGTATCGGTATCTAGTCTTTATAAAAGTATGTGCACATAGAGACGCTGATATTGTCACCTATCAGATATCGAAACTTCCTTGAACTGATGATGGTCAGAAGTGATTATGATGAGTTTTGAGTTATTTACGTTAGAGTGTGGTTGTGACTTTGAATGTTTGCTTTTGTTGTGGCTGTAGCAGTGGCTTGTGGGTATTCATGATTATTTGGTATTGATCCGAAACCACATCCACTTATTCTATTGTCCGTGCAAAAAATGTTTAGTTTTTCTTGAAGTCCGTGCAAGACAGTATATGGGAGAGGTTCATACGATCGTCCTGTGTTTTGATCATAGGGATCCCTTGTTTGTTGCTACCGTGTTCCATCATATTCAATTTCTTCGAAGTATCGTCAAGCTGTTGTACATGTTAACTCAAGTGAAACAGCTATACTTGGAATTGGTAGTAAGCAAAGAAATACGAGAGATCAGTAGTGCAATCATGTCTCGTTGCGATCGCTTATGAAGAAAAAACGCTCTTTATACGGAGTCACTAGCAAAACTCGAAAATGTGATCGTACACGAAGAAATACAGAAAGAGAGGGTTATTCCATTAGTTCATATTTAAACAAGTCTAGCGCATATTTTTTGCTTGATGAAGACGGGCATGGATGCGGCACATGAGAGTATGAATGAACACTGGCACAGATGAATTTATTCTTCAACCACTAGTTACCCACACTTATTTATTTTTAACATCGCCTAGCCATCCTTAAGTTTTGAGCAATGATAATCTTCTTAAACAGAATTGATCGGTCACAGCACAGAAAAATTTGTTCTTACATAATGCTTTGAAGAATGACTTTGTGTTGGTATAGAAAAATATAGTACTGTCAAAAAATGTAGAAGACTTTTGAAATTATGCTTTCGTATTCCACTGCATCGTTTAGACGCAGCTACTTTCCGAACTGTTGTTTTTGAAAAAGCATGAATGATGTCTTCGAATACTAATGCGTTTGCATTCACTCAACATAAATACTTATGAACGTCGATTGCGTTGTTCGTAGGAAAATTGGAAAAAACCTGCTACAGGTAGTATAGCATGCATCATTCTCTATTTGCTTATCGATTTAGTTTTGTCCGAAAGAAAAAATGTACTCAAGTGCACCCTATGCAAACATATAAACTATCGAGAAGAAAAATCAATATTAACTATGCCAGTGAATGAAGCTTTGTTGCACTTCATGGATAAATAGTGCAATCTAGGCTGACCTACAATATCATCTAAATCAATACTATTAAATACTTATTCGTAGCCAAAATAAAAATTTCAACTAAAAAACCTAGTCTTCATAATGTAGATATCGATCATCCACGTACTGACGCTAACCCCATCTACAATTTCTACCTTTTATTCGTTCTTCATGGGACAAGATTTCTATCACTTTCATCGTTCTGCTACTTCCTCGGGTACTCACATATGCTTGTTTTTTTTTCGCTTGCACAACCGTACGTGGTTGGTTTTTCCCGTTGGTTTATTTGAAAGTAGTTGTTTGATGTGAAAACTACGCGAGAAAACACCCGATGATCAAAAACGGAATTGATTCATAAAGTAAATCAATGCTTCATCAATCGAGACGGTGCTAGATCTTGAGTACGTATTTCATTTTTTCAGCATACGGAAGATGCTACGTCAACAAATTCAAACGACATATGTGGTCATAAAGCTAGTTCGGAAGTATCTCGAGTGGGGCGGACAGGAAGCAACGAGTCATCGATGGAGGATCGAAAATTTTGGCGGAAGTTTATATCACAAAGAACAATAGAAATTTTCAAGTTCCTCTGAGAAAATGAAAACTTTTTAGTATTGTGAAGTAATCCTCGCGTCCTGCTTCGTGGCAGCGTACTCAGAAAAGGAAAAACTTGAAGATTTGTCGAAACTTGAAAACCAGTGCATTCAATAGAACCAACTCTTTCACTTCTGCACTTATGAGTTCCCGTTATTATGGAAAAAGGCTTGTACAGGAAAATGTCGGTATAAGAGTGAAATGAATACCCTCATCCACATTTCTAACTCACCAATCATGCTTCTCAACCTGTCACCTTGAGACAAATGAGTATTTAACTGTTGCTATCCAATTCCAAGATCGCTTATCAAAAAATAAAAAGTACATATTCTTGTTATGACAAAAATTTCTAAAGTAGTGCACTAACTACTGGAGGTTACAGGAACTGAGCTCCCTTTGTAAACCGCTCATGAGGAAACATTCCCAACTGATGTGAGCTCGAACTGTGCGTATCAGTTGGGAATATTTCCTCATCAGTCCCTCCTTATTCGCTATGAAAATTTCTAACCAAAGAAATATGATATTTTTTGTGTAAAATCGGACAAAGAATGAGGGTCCATAAGGTCAATCATTAGATAGAAAATATCCAATTATCTGTGTAGAATGTGTTTTAATGCGCCTAGAACTATATAAAAAGTTAGACCCGATCGTAAAGCATCTTTTTTCGATGTAGCCTTGATTCACGTGAAAATCTTGAAAACTTCGCTTCCTGATTTACTGTAAAAGTTTTGATAAAACTAGGGTGATATTAGATAATTGACGCCATTGATTCTATGTATTTTCAAAAACACGAAATTAAACATTTTTTAGGTAACCTGAGGGGTATAGGTGCGGAAAACTCGATGCCAAGCCAAGGTAAATAGCCTGCTCTCTAAAAAAATAGGTATTCTCGGGAACCGGCCGAAAAAGGTTTCCGAGGGCTCGAAAACCCATTTTTTTACCCTCGGAAACTTTTTAAAGGATTTTCAAACCTCGGAAACCCTTAAAAGATTTCATAAAGGGACACACTCGAAAACCGATAATGGTTTCCGAGTTTATCCCTATATGAAACCCTTTAAGGGTTCCTGAGAGCCAAAAAATGGGTTTCCGAGGTTCGGAAACCTTTTTCGACCGGTTTCCGAGAATACCTTTTTTTTTAGAGAGTGGTACATGTTGTATTTCACAAGTTGCCTGCTATCGCTATGAGGTTTTTTGAAATTTTTTTTTTGAAGAGAAAATTGGCATTATCGACTCTCATGCTTGGGGAACTGAGGTTCCTTCTGTAATTTTTTACTGGTTCCACCAATATTCTAAAGATCTGATAAATGTTGAAGCTTATGCGTGAATTTTATAAGAAAAAAAGCTTCAATATAGGTCTGAGAGTATGATACATGATACAAATCATATTGGAAACTAGAATATTATCCCTATGATTGTGCATCTTTTTTTTGACTAATTCTCATTTGGCAATTGCTAACTCATTTTTCTCGTATCTGTACATTTGACGTGAAAACAATAAATCATTATAGCAAATTATCTTGATTCAATTTTTTAGATAAAACTCTATCTAAACGAAAATATTGACGCTAGCTACATTATCTCACTTTCAACTACAATATCTAATATGAGAGAAACGCTAACAGAATCATTTACTTCATCTAAACAATCTGTAAATGATGCTTCTATGTTGAGTGATGGAAAACAAAACCTCGAATCTTCGATGCAATTTAGAGATTTACAGCCATTAGTACAGCTGAATAGAACTAATGCGGAGGAAGAGCTCTCTAAGTCCAAGATTTCCATGATAACGAGCCAAATATGCAAGAGCTTGAATCAAGTGCGATCGACTGCTGATAAAAACAATCCAGATCGAGTAGGATCTGAGTGTTCGAACGCAAAAATACAAGACAAGACTCAGTCTAATGTATCAACATCGAATGGGTGTAAAGTTACATCACAAGGTGTCCATGGGTTATCTAAGGTTCTAGAAACATGCCGGCATATTATTAGACAACCAGGTGTTCACTCTGTTAATGCTTTGAAAGGAGCAGGATTTCATTACACATGTGTTGGCGACGCAGCTCGTTGCGATGATTGTCAACTAGAAGTAACTGGTTGGAGATTGGATATGGATCCATTTTCAGTTCATGCGCAACTTAGTCCAAATTGTGCATTTGTTAAATCTATCAAACCATCGACTGATGTCTTCTTCTTATCTTCGTGTCATACACCGGCAACTATTAGTACTGATTTACCAACTACTGATTCCAGTGAACAAGATAAGTTCTCTAAATGTCAAAAAACAAAATTAACCAACGAAAGTATTCAGACACCTGCTTTTGTCGAAGTGGAAATGCTGAAACAAATACGTCGTCAAACATTTTCACACTGGCCGCATCGAATTACACCATCTCAAGCACAAATGATTCAAGCTGGCTTTTTCAATTGCAATGTTGGTGATCGGGTGATCTGTATCTATTGTAACCTCATTTGTCAGCAATGGACGCCACATACAGATGATCCATGTGAAGTGCATAAAACACTTTCGCCTCAATGCCCTTTTGTGCTGAACATGTTAGTACGTCGTGAAGCCACGCCTTTATCAATCATTAATCTGAATTCCGTGACTGACGGAACATCAACAGTTGCTGCTGTTACTAATGCCTTTCGCTCGCATGAGATTGTGCTTACTGCCGCTTGTAACTCGTATTATATAGAAATTCCAAAACGCCATCAATCATTTACTACGTGGCCCAGCGACCCACTTCCATCCGTTGATGATCTCGTTCGCGCCGGGTTCTTTTATACTGGTAATAGTACCATCGTTACATGTTTCTACTGCAATGGCTCATTGCAGAATTGGGGCGCAAACGATAGTCCTACAATTGAGCATGCTCGGTGGTTTCCACATTGTGGATATGCAAAACAACTCTGTGGAGATGATCTATATCGAAAAATCCAGGAATCGAAACGAACTGCACAAGGTTCATTTTCGAAGCTTTTTGACTTCTAAATAAAATGATCAAGTTATCTTGTTATTTTGTTTTTAGAACGTGCTAGACCCAAAGAGACAATCAACAATATTACGAGTAGTGCCCAAAAATTGCAAATATCGGATGAAAGTACATTGTCGCGTTTTGTGGCGGCTCGCCTAGATTTGCCTATATCGCAAAAGTTGCTTAACCAAAATTTCAAATTATCGATCATCAAACGTTGTTGGGAGGATCAACTTCGGTTAAAATGTATGTAAAAAAATATCCTGTTCACAACTATAACATGAAGTAACTGCAATTAATATTATCTTTTAGTGGATGATTTCGTTACCGACTGCGATCTATTGATGGCTTGTACTATTCTACAGAAACAAATCACTGGTATTAACGGCAAGAAAGAGAATATCATAGTGCCCAGTATTAAAATGCGACAAGTGCGCGAGGCATTTCTATCAGGTATTGTCTTTAGAAAAAAAGAATCACTTTATCAAGTACGAATTTCCTCTTCTATTTTCTCTTCGTCACGAGCATCAAAATAAAGTCAGCATCTACTTATTGATGTAGATAAGTAAATACGATGTGTCCTGCTTACTTAATCTGCTTTGAATAAAATAATGATTTATGTAAAAAATTAACAGCATGGACAATATTTACTTGTTTACCTCAATAAGTGGATGTTTGTCTTTAGCTACGCATTTATCAATAAAAAATTTTCAATGCAATGTCTGCGCGATGAACGTGTGACGTATGATAGAGTCTATTTAGTCATAATCTAAACATTTGCCTAACATTTCTGACAGTTAGTAATGGAATTATTAAATCTGCATTTTGAGATCACGATATAAGGTTGAGTGCGAAGTTCAAATACCTCGCTTTTAATAGCTTCACACATAAACAATCATGTTTCACAAAAGAAAATAGGACATCAATTAAATATTTATTACTACGTAGTAGAGCTTAAATATCATTCGTATTGTCCAACTCCTATGATATAAATATTATTTAGAAATCCTTCCTGCACAATCATCGACATCGTCTCCTACTGCAGCAGTCTCAACGAGTTCATCGAACGCTTCTGATGTTGAAATGACCACTACATCTGAATCATCTACTACCCAATCGAACTCAAGAACATCCGTAGATCGAGTCACTGAAGAGACGAAAATATCCAAGAAAACTTCAACGAGTTCCAATTCTCAGCCTATCCAAACGATGAATACAGGTTCAACAAACCCATGCGCGCTGTGTTTGACCGAGGACAAGGCTCTGGCTTGTATTCCATGTGGCCATCTGGCCACGTGTGTTCCATGTGGGCATTCACTTCGATCATGCCCAATATGCCGGCAAAAGATAGACGGATTTATTCGCATATATATGTAACCTATTTATTTATTTAATTCCCGTGTGTGTGCATGTGTTCCTTCATTCACACTCACAACTTTAACATGTTGATGAAAATTATCTCTTGAAACATAAGTTATTAAGCCATATCTATCATCGGTAAGCTCTCGACAGTCATCGAAATCAAATGTTTTTTTTAATTTCAAGTAAAATATGTGATTTTGTTATGAAAAAGTTGAACATCAGAGCAATTTAACCCTTGTTGGCGTATTCAGAACGGTTTATTTTTTTCAGTAACTTCTATTGTCAATTGACGGTTAGTTTAAACTTTTAGAGCAGCGTTATTCTATCTTTAGAACCTACATATTACATGTAGATAGCAAATATTCTTGATCATCTGATGGAATTTTCAATGAATTACTATTTAAGTCTTTTTGTCAAATGTAATGCACTCTAAAGAATAATTTTAGAGACTTTTTATGACGAAAAGAGAAATTATTTTTTACCCACGTGTGTGAAGACAAAATTGAGTTTAGCTATGATTACACTATTTCATCATTTATCACTTAATTCAATTGTTGATTCAATTCCATTACTTGTGAAGAAGCATTATTCATTGAAGCATCTATAGCATCATTCTAATTGAGCAGAAATAATGTAGGAAATTATTTTTTAAATATTCACAGATCCATTATTGACACCATTTATGTCCTCCATATCAGTTTTCAAGCGATTCAAAATTGTGGCAAATTCGGTATTTTCCTTTTTTCGTTTATTATATCGCACACGACAAACATTACAAATCTTTGATACACTTGTTAGCGCTTTCATAGTTTGTATCAATATAAACATGGATAGGCGCGCTGATCTTAAACGTTCAATATCGGAACTGCGATTCAACAGAGACCCACAAGAACAACAAAAGTTAGTCGTTTTCAGAAAATTCTAGTATGCAAATATGTGTTTCATGACACGACGATGACACATTGATCGTGCAGTAAGATGTGTCGAGTATCCCTACAATATGTGTATGTGGGTGTAGGTGACGATGCGTGTGTGTATGTGTCTATTATTCACTCATATCTTACTGAAACCTACAACCATGCCTACGTCCTACTCAGACTCACCGTGACACGACACTACCTCGCATGACATTTTCGCATGTAACACTACCGCGCCGACACTTCCGCGCAAAATGATTTTTTTCTTTTCTATTTACGCTTAGTTAATCGTTCTCTCAATCTTTAATTAACTGTTTCGTTCTCGTATTATTGGATCAATTGAACTCATCAGTATGAATAAAAGAAAGGGAATATGAGTTTGGGTCTCGGTGTAGGTCTGAGTGTACATGGTGTGAATGAACGTAGGCCTGGGCGTGGATCCGGGCTTGAGTATGAGTGATATGGATGTGAGGTGCATGGGTGAGAATGGATCTGGGTGT